CCGTCAAAACCAGATAGATCTTTTAAACAAAGAATCAACAAGGATATTGTGGTGCTGAACGATATTCTAGGTCAAATGGACTTAACTGTCATATACAGAACCTGTCATCCCAAGGAAGCAACATATACATTATTTTCAAATGCACATGGAAAATTGAAGATAGACCACATGGCAGGACACAAAACAAGCCTAAACAAATTGAAAGAAACTGAAATCAAATCAAGCATATTCTTGGACCAAGAAGGCTTGAAACTAGAAACCATCCTCAAGGAAAAACTCAAAAACATTCAAATTCATGGAGACTGAATAGTATGCTATTAAATAAAGAATGGGTTAATAATGAGATAAAAGAAGAAATCAGAAAGTTTCTAAAAACAAATGAAAATGAACACAAAATAGTTCAAAACCTATGGGACACAGCAAAGGCAGTCCTGAAAGGAAAGGTCATAGCAATACAGGCCTATCAAAAAAGACAAAAATTTCAAATAAACAACCTAACCCTACATCTACAAGAACTAGAGGAACAACAACAAAGCACAGACTGAGTAGAAGGATGGAAATAATCAAGACCAGAGCAGAATTAAATGACATAGAGACTAAAAGAACAACTCAAAGGATCAATAGATCCGGGGCTGGTTTTTTGAAAAGATAAACAAAATCAACAATCCTTTAACCAGACTCATCAAGAAAAAAAGAGAATCCAAATAAATAAAAATCAGAAATAAAAGAGGAGAAATTACAACAGAAATGCAAAGGATTGTTAAGAAATTACTATGAACAGCTATATTTCAAGTAATTTGAGAACCTGAGCAAAATGGACAAATTCTAGAAAAATATAATCTTCCAAAACTGAATCAAGAATAAGCAGAAAGCCTGAATAGACTGATGACAGCTAGTGAAATTGAAGCAGTAATCAAAATACAGCACACAAAAGCCCTATACTGAACAGCTTCATTGGAGAATTTTACCAAACATTTAGGGAGCGCTAACTCCTATTCTTCTCAAAATATTCCAAAAAATTCAAGAAGAGAAAAGAGTCCCAAACTATTTTATGAGGCCAGTATTATTCTAATTCCAAAACCAGATAAAAACACAACAAAGAGAGATAACTACAGGCCATTACCACTGATGAACACAGATGCTAAAATCCTCAACAAAATAATTGGCAAATAGGATCTGGCAATACATTAAAAAGATCATACACCATGATCAAGCGGGATTCACCCCAGGGTGCAAGGATTATAGAATATTTGCCAATCAATAAATGTAGTATATCACATAAACAAAAAGGAAAACAAAAATCAAATGATCATATCAATAGATGCTGAAAAAGCATTCGACAAGGTACGACACAAATTTATGATAAAAGCACTCAGCTAAGTAGGAGTAGAGGGAGCATACCTCAGCATAACAAAAGCCATATATAATAGACCTACAACCAACATGATACTCAAAGGGCAAAAACTAAAAGCTTTCCCTCTAAGATCATGAACAAGACAAGGGTGTCTGCTTTCATCATTCTTATTCAACACAGTATTGGAAGTTCTAGCCACAGGGATCACACAAGAGAAAGAAATAAAAGGCATCTAAATAGGAAAGGAGCAAGTGAAACTGTCATTCTTTGCAGATGACATGATAGTGTACATAGAAAATCCTAGAGACTCCATCAAAAAACGACTCAACCTAAGAAGTGAATATGGCAAAATAGTGGGATACAAAGTCAATATTCAAAAATCGAATGCATTTTTGTATACCAGCCATGAACTATCAAACAGAAACTAGGGGAAAAAATACCATTTACTATAGTGACAAGAAAAATAAAGTACCTAGGAATAAATTTAACCAAGGAGGTAAAACCTATACTCAGAAAACTATACAATACTATACAACAAGAAAGATATCAAGGAAAACACAAATATATAAAAGCATATACTGTGTTTATGGATTGGAAGAATTACATCATTAAAATGTCCATATTACACCTTGGATGGTGTGGCTCAGTGGATTGAGTGCCAGCCTGAAAACCAAAGGGTCACCAGTTTGATTCCGAGTCAGGCCACATGCCTAGGTTGCAGGCCAGGTCCCCACTAGGGGGTGTGCAAGAGGCAGCCACACATTGATGTTTCTCTCCTTCTCTTTCTCTCTCTTCCCCTCTCTATGAAAATAAATAAAATCTTTTAAAAAATGCCCATACTACCCAAAGCAATCTCTAGATTCAATGTAATCCCTATTAAAATAACAATGACATATTTCACAGATATAGAATATTTCAAAAATTTAAATGGAACCATAAAATGACCCTGAATAGCCTCAGCAATTTTGAGAAACTACAAAGTAGGAGGGATCACAGTACCTGATATCAAAATGTATTACAAGGCCACTGTAATCAAAACAATTTGGTTCTGGCATAAGAACAGATACATAGATCAATGGAACAGAATACAGAGCCCAGAAATAAACCCATGTCAATATGGTCAATCAATATTTGACAAAGAGGGCACAAGCTTAAAATGGAGTAAAAATAGCCTCTTCAATAAATGGTGATGAGAGATCTGGACAGGTATATGCAAAAATATGAAACTAGACCACCAACTTACACCATACCCAAAAATAAACTCAAGATGTATAAAAGACTTAAATGTAAGTTGTGATACCATAAAAGTCTTAGAGGAGAACACAGGCAGAAAAATTTCAGGTATCCTATGTGGCAGTATGTTTGCTTATATAGGGATATAAAGGAAAGAATAAACAAATGAAACTATAACAAATGAGAAATCTTCTGCATGGCTAAAGAAAACATGAAAAGGAAAAGGAAAAGGAAAAAAAATGAAAACTTCCCTTTCATTGGTCCTTTACCAATGATAATCCGGACAAGGATTTGATCTGCAAAATATATAAAGGACTAATATGACTCCACACCAGGAAGACAAACAATCCAATTTAAAAAATGGGCAAAGGACTTGGAATAAGCACGTCTCCAAGGAGGACATACAGAGGGGCCAGAGATATATGAATGAATGCTCCATATCACCAGCAATCAGAGATGCAAATTAAAACCACAATGAGATACCACTTCATACTGCTGAGACTGGTTATCATTGAGAAATCAATAAACGACAAGCACTGGCGAGGATGTGGAGAAAAGGGAACCCTAGTACACTGTTGTTGGTGGGAATGCAGACTGGTGAAGCCACTGCGGAAAACAGTATGGAATTTCCTCAGAAAACTAAAAATGGAACTGCCTTTTGACTCAGGGATTCCACTTCTGGGATTATACCCTAAGAACCCTGAAACACCAATCCATAAGGACCTATGCACCCCAATGTTTACAGCAGCATTATTTACAATAGCCAAGTGCAGCAAACAGCCTAAGTGCCCATCAGTAAATGAGGGGATCAAAAAACTGTGGTACATTTACACAATGGAATACTACACAGGAGAAAGAAAGAGGGAACTCTTACCCTTCTCAACAGCATGGATGGAACTGGGGAGTATTTATGCTAAGTGAAATAAGCCAGGTGGTGAGAGACAAATTACCATATGATCTCACTTATAAATGGATTAATCAACAGAAGAAACAAATGAGCAAAATAGAGCCAGAGACATGGAAATAAGGAATAAATTGACAGTGACCAGAAGGGAGGGGAGAGGAGGTAATGGGGAAGAGAAGGGGAACGGTCATTCAGGAACAGGTATTAAGGACCCATGCACAAGAACAACAGGGTAGGGAATGACTATGGAAGCAGAGTGGGTAGGGCAGGGGAGAGCAATGGGGGTAAAATTGGGACAACTATAACTGAACAACAATAAAAAGAAACTATTTGAAAATATAATGATAGAAAACTTCCCTACCTTGGTGAAGGAAATCAACATATAACTCTGGGAAGCACCGAGTTAGAAACAAGTTGAATCCAAAGAGGCCCATCACACCAAAACACATTCCAATTAAAATGCCAAAGGTTAAAGAGAAAGAAAGAATCTTAAAAGCAGCATGAGAAAGACAGTTACCTACAAGGGAACTAACTCCCACAAGACTGTCAGCTGGTTTCTCAACAGTAACTTTGTAGTCCAGAAGGAATTGGCAAGAGATAACTCAAACTGATGAAAGGCAAGGACCTTCAACCAAGATTACTCATCAAACCTATCACTTAGGCTAGAAGGAGACATAAAATGCTTCCCAAATAAGAAAATGCTGAAGTAGTTCATCACCACCAAATCGGCATTACAAGTAATGTTAAAGGGTCTTCTTTAGATGAAGGGGGGAAAAATAAAAAAATATGAATGAAAAATGATAATAAATATATTTATCTACCAAAAATGACTTTAAATGCAAATAGATTAATGCTTCAATCAAGAGACATATGGTGGCTGAATGAATAACAAAACAAGACCCTTAACATATGTTGTCTACAAGGGACTCACTTCAGATTGAAAAACACACACAGATCCCTGGCTGGTGTGGCTCAGTGGTTGAGTATCAGCCTGTGAATCAAAGGGTCATTGGTTTGATTCCCAGTCTAAGGCATATGCCTGGGTTATGGGCCAGGTCCCCAGTAGAGGGTGCATGAGAAGCAACCACACATTGTTCTTTCTCTCCCTCTCTTTCTTCTTCCCTTCTCTGTCTAAAAATAAATAAATCTTAAAAACAAAACAAAACAACAAAACCACACACACAAAGTAAAAAGGATGGAAAAACATTAGATGAAAATGGAAAAAAAGAAAAAGCTGGGGCAGTTAAAATATATACTTTAAAACAAAAGCTGTAACAAGAGATAAGGAAGAACCTGGCAATTCCATTTTTGGTTTTTCATCCAAAGAAACCCAAACACTAAATTGAAAGGACATACACTATCCATATGTTCATTGGAGCATTATTTACAATAGCCAAGATATGGAAAGGTTGCAAAAAAGACTAAATCAATGTGAATATTTTGACTATAGTCTATGCATTGTAATTTGAAGAATGCCCCAAAAATGGGTAAGATTCAAGGATGACTTACTCTGCCACGTTCAACTTGTGTGGTCAACATAACCACCATGGAGGAGCCTTGTTCCCAAGTCATCTGCCAAAAATCTGTACAAGTGTGTGGTAATGGCCCTTGACAAGCAATATACTGATTTATGATGCTAGAAGAAGGAATTTCCATCTAAAAAGACAAAGATACAAAATTAAAATATTTTATTAGTATTTTTTAATATAATCAAGCATGTGAATATCATCCACTAAATAATAATTAAATAAAACGAATTTAGAAAAACTGCAAAGTCAGTATAACAAATCTTTAAGAACAATTTCTCATTTTATCTGCAGAAGAAATTTCTTGCTGATGGCTGATATTTATACAAATCTATTTTCCAATTGGTAGAAACAGAAATTCAAGTATTTTCCAAAGCACTGTTATAGTTTTAAGAGCAGTTTTACAGAGAACCCAGTTTCAGAGGTACAGACTTGGTCTCTCAACACTTACTGGTAAAATTGGTGAAGAGCAAAAATTCTGCCATTTTAGTTTAGATTTTACAAAAAAATGTAACATAAACGAATATGAGGGAAACATTTTAAATTCATTATTATTTCAGAAAGAGGTAAGATCATATTTGGGTAAGATGATGCTACATTTTGAGATGAAATTTTAAAAAAGAAAAGGTGACACATGCACACTGCAACTGTAAGGGTGAAAATAGAAGTCTCCCTTCTACCCCAGCCTGTAGTTTCTGTCCAGGAGAGCAACCCTTTCTTCTAGTTGCTAATATATCTGTTCAGAGATATTCTATATACAACAAAAATGAACATGCAAAATTATTTTCCTCTTTTTCTGTAAAACATAAGTGGTAGCATATAATGTTATTCTGCATCTTGTTTCTTTTTTCCCACTTTATCACTGACATGTTGTCAGATTTGTAAATAAAATTTCATTTTTAGTGGCTCTACTGTATAAATATACCATACTTTATTTAATAGACATTGAAATTGCTGCTAATCTATTTGCTACCATAAACAAAGCTGCAATAAATACTTTTGTAAACCTAATATTTTTGTGCACATTAAGAAACCTATTTGAATGGGCAATAGGTAGAAATGAGAATGCTGGATCAAAGTGTTATATGCCTTTAGAATTTTGTCAGATAGTACCAATTTGCTCTCCAAAGAGGTTGTACCTATTTATACTTTTATCAGTAATATATGAAAAATGCTTGTTTCCTGACAAGTGGCCTTAACATATCCATAACCCACAATCCACAATTCTGGAACTCCCAATGCTCTAAAGCAGGGGTGTCCAACCTGTGGCCCATGGGCCGCATGCAGCCCAGGATGGAATGAAGCCCAACACAAAATTGTAAATTTACTTAAAACATTACCTAGTTTTATTACTAAGTCTTATTACTTAGATATATACATTTTCTATATTAGTGATCACAAACTTGGGACTGGTTTGATGATTTTAAAAGTTACCAAAAGGGCTGCTACATAATTAGGGTTATTATGTGAGGGTTTTTTGCTTATCTGTGGTGGCAGATATCACAAAAATTATGCATGGACCTTTTTTTGCTCATCAGTTTTCATTAGTGTTTGTGTATGCAATGTGTAGCCCCAGACAACTCCTCTTCCAGTATGACCCAGAGACGCCAAAAGGATAGATTCCCCTACTCTAAAGTGTAACTTTGCCTTTTTCTTTTGGTACACCTGGTCTAACCTGGACTCATTTCACAGCAATATTTGACTTGAACTCATCTAAGACTGTTGGTGGAAATATCCAGTTAGCTGTTGAATACCGATATACTGATTATGGCTTGCTAGAGATATTACCTGTATTATGTATGGCATATACACTTAATAACTAAAAATAAAAAAAATCTGAATTCCAAAGCACATTTGATCTCAATCTTTCAGATAAAGAATATAGACTTAAATGTGGTATTATCAAACTTTCTGATATTTCAATCTAATAAAAGTGAAAAATGGTAATTCCCTGAAGTTGTAATTTGCACTTTTCTTTTTATAAATTTGAATGTATGCATGAAATAGCACAGTATGAACTGTGCTATTTTTCTAAGTGCTATAGTTGTGGTTTTGCTAAAAAAATAAAATAAAAAATGGAGATAGATACATATTAAAATAGTGAATTGTCATTATTCACAGATTCTGTATTTCCCAGTTTGCCTATTTAGTAAAATTTATTTGTAACTCCAAAGTACTTGGAGAGCTTTCATGATTATTTATAGACACATTAAAAGAGGAAAAAATTGAGCCACCCTAGGCGTACATTTCTAACTAATGTGGAATGAGATGTTGCTGTTCTGTTTTCCTGTTTCTGCTCTCCTACTATAAACAAGTGCCCTTTTTGCAATCTATTTAATTTTTGTGCTTGTTGTTAGTGATTTCACTGTCTAAAGTGGTCCCCAAGGGTAGTGCTGCATACTGTACAGTGTTCTAGGTGTAAGGAGGCCATGATATGCCTTATGAAGAAAACAAATATGTTAAATAAGCTTCCTTCAGGTATGAGTTATAGTGCTGCTGGCTGTGAATTCAATGTTGATTAATCAACAATGTGTACAAAATAAGGTATCTTTAAACAGAAACAAGATTTATGTATTGATCAGCTGACAAAAATGTTGTAACCAGAGGCTCATGGGTACCTAACCTTATATTTCCCCTTGAAGCAAGGATTCAATATTTGCTAATTCAGGGTTAATGAAGACTTTATAGACTATCATAAATAATAAAAATGGACTCTATTTATAAACAGTGATATATCTGGGCTTAAAAAATAATCTAGGGGTGTAGTGCTTAGATGGAACAAGACTGGCCATTTGTTGATTGTTCTTCAAGCTGGGTGGGTAACAGGTTTATGATGGGGGGTGAATCTTCATAGTGTTCTACTTTTGTACAGAATTGAAAATGCCATAACAATTTTAAAATGACATTTGCAAGAGCTTTCCTATGAACTATCTCTGCATAGCCTTTATTATTTCCATTGCACTGTATTTATTTCTTATTCATGTATAGAGCTATTTATATATTGAAGAAATACAACCTTTGTAGTATTTTTTTTTACAGATCTTTTTATTTTTAGAGAGAAGGGAAGGGAGGGAGAGAAACATCAATGTGTGGTTGCTTTTCGAGTACCCTCTACTGGGGCGTGGCCCGCAAGCCAGGCATGTGCCCTGACTGGGAATTGAACCGGCAACCCTTTGGCTCACAAGCCCGTGTTCAATCCACTGAGCTATACCAGCCAAGGTGCCTTTGTGGTATGTTAAAAATTCAGTTTCTCATTTGATTTTATAGTACTTTTTAAACATCCCTTGAATTAAACATTTCACATTGCCAAATCCATCAATCTTTTTTTATGGCTTAGACATGTATATAAGCTTTAAAAAACCTTCCCATTTCTGAGATATTATTTTTTCAAAGTTTTTTATTTATTTATTTTTAGGGCAAGTGGAAGGGAGAAGGAAAGGCAGGGAGAGAAACATTGATCAGTTGGCTCTTGTACGTGTCCTGTCCCAGGACTAAACCCACAACCCAGCCACGTGCCCTGACTAGGAATCAAACTGGTGACCTTTCGCTTTGTAGGATGATGCCCAACCAACTGAACCACACTGGTCAGGGCCCCTTTCTGAGATTTTAAACAATTCTCACATATATCCTCCAAGTACTTTCATGATTCCATTCCTTACATTTATATTTTGATATATGTAAAATGTATGCTGGCCTCAAAAGAATGTGAGGGTTAAGTGTTTATAGATAAATGATATAATGTATGGATTTATTTCAAAATAATTTGGATGTGTGGGGGCATGGGTAGGGGTATAGGTGAAACAAAGTTGGCTATGAGTTGATAATTATTGGAAGTTGAGTCATGTGCATAAACAGGTTCATTTTACTTTCTCCTCGACTTTTGTATGTTTGAAATTTTCTGTAACCCAAAATTAAGGAAAAAAGTAATAATTCCTTTTTTTCCCCGCTCTTGGTTGGGGGGACCCTCCTTACAACAATATATTTTAGACAGACCTAAGTCACTCATTACATAATCTGTTTTATCTTCAATGATTTAAAAGGCTATCTCTACCATAAAGAAAATTCTAGTCTTTATTTCAGCTTATTTCTGGACTAGACTATTCCATTCCACTGTTGCATGTATAGATTAATATGGCACTCCAAAACTATTTTTTAGAATTAATTTAAAAATATTTTTCATTATCTGAAAGTTTTAATATTCTCTCAAGGTTAGGCTTTTAACAAAAAGGAATAAATCTCAAAGTTTATAGTGGCCCCTCTATAACAATGAAAAAGATACAATAAAAATAAACTTACATTTATATAATTTGCATTGATGTAGTCTTCATTTCCCTTTAAAATGACCCGTGTAGCATCATCTGAAAAATTTTTATTTTATTTTTATAAAAAGTTTTAATAAAGCTATATGAAAAAGATTAAACTTAATATACAGAGATCATAAGTACTTACAAGGTGAAATATCTCTGTATCTATTTTTGGAAATGTTCTGAGGTAATTTGGCACAAGACATTGTCATTCCAGGTTTTTTCCGATATAGTTGCTAAAAAAAAAGGGTATGAATCCAGTAAGACATTAAGAGTTACTTTTTTGTTTTTCCAATTTGTTTCTATGCTATGAAACAGGTTTTATTCCTTAGAATACTTGATCTATACAATGATGTACCTTAGGCTGATAGGATAATAAACCAGATTCCCAAAGCTAAGTTTGGCACAATTTCTGACATGAATTATATATCATATTTTGAAGAATGGCAAGAAAGTGGAAACAATTTGATTTACAGCAAAAAGGTACCTGGAGTTTTGAATAGAAAATCTGTAGAAAACATTTAGCCTTCATTTAGTTTGTTTATAGTATATAAACCCAACTTCTTAAAAAATAAAAACTGACAGACCCTAAATGTCTTTTCATCACAAATGTTTTAGTCAGTTATCTATAACATATAATTCAAAGCAACAAATATTAATAGCTACACTGACAAAAATTAGAGGAGGATTAAATATTATAAGGTACAGAAGTCATTTTCCTTTAACTCAGGATTTTTAAGTCTGCAATCACCTATCTTCGTCTGCCAACTTTCATAAAAACAGCTATTTAATTACAGAAAAAAAATTAGTTTGACAACATATGTATTAAAATCTCCTTATTCCTCTCTTTTAAATAGGCATCTATTTGTGTGACAATAGTGGGTATTTTGGCAATTTTAAAAACTTTGTATTTTAGAATGTTTATCCCAACTATTCTCAGAATACCACTTTAATTTGTAAATAGTAACTGATAGATAAGGCAGTTAAGAAATCATACAGTATTACTTACATCAAACTGTGTCAGGATTGTTCCAGTGATAAGCCCCTCAGCTAGCTGGATCATTGACTCCCGCAGGGAATGGTCATCCTCGTGGACACTATCTAGTGGGGTTTTCTCAGGAATGTACTGGAAGTCTGGCTCATTTTCTAGCTTTTCTTCCACTACATCATAGACAGCTAAAACAAAACAAAACAAAACAAAACAAAAAAACCCACATAGAAACCGTAATGAATTAGTGAAAGGAATTTAGCAGATTTCCTCTTTAATTATGTGTCAGGAAATACTTTACTTATTTATAATTTATCACATCTGAGTCTGATGCCATGATGTCGGGAAGAAGAGTGACTGTGGAGCTGAATAAATTTGCTGTACCTTTGGGGAAAAGAAGGGTTCTTGGCCATTTTGCTAAAAATGTCTGTGACTTGAAGAGACATTAAGAAAAAGAGGAGCTGCCAAAATGCAGCTCTGAAGAGACCTGCCCTAATTCATAGGACCTAGGGCAAGAGTAAATAAAAGCCTGTATCATGTATGCCTAGATATGAATGGTTGCAAATAAAATGAACAGAGTTCTAACCAGAATGTTTTATCCTCTCTCCTTGACAGCTACAAAACAACCTGAGAGTCTAGATTTCAAATGAGATACTAGGCCAGAATTCACTATCACGGTAGCATGAGGAGAGCCAGACCCTAGACCCTGGCCTGCAGACCACCCTACTACTTTTTTACCAGCAGCTCCATTATTTAACATGGGAAAATATAAACATTCCCATGAACATCCCAGTCCATATGTAACCTTGTTCTACATACCTCTGCAATGACTTCATTTTAGCTACTTCCCCTGGTCTAGGGGTACATACATCACGTGAGCCAAATTGGGAGAATGGATTTGGAGAAATGGCCACGCAGGCCCAGGAAGTGGGCTCAGAGCTACTTGGACAGAATATCGAGGGCTGAAAAAAATCATCTTGGAAGGATGGGGAGGTCACAAGTGATGTACCCTTGCTCCTACAAAATCTTGGCAATGTGGGAGTAGGCAAAGTTGGAGGAAAACCAGAATACAGACTTCTAGAGGGTGAAGCCAGCTAGGGGGTCTACTATGCCCTTGACTAAGAGGTTTGGTTCCTGCTTAGATATGGATGAATTTTTAGGAATACATTTCTAAAATGAAGAACAAAAAGACAAAAAGGTAGAAATGTGTTTTGTCTAAGAAGAAATAAGATTTAAAGGGGAAAAGACCTGAAAAAATAAACTCTTTGTTTTTTGATTATACAGTAAGCCCTTACTTAATATTACTGATAGGTTCTTAGAAACTGAGATTTTTAACAAAATGACATACAGTGAAACCTAATTGATAAAAACTAGAGTTAAATTCCTACAGCATATTTCTGGTCACAAAAACATCACCAAACTTCTAAATAAAGATCCCAAACACTTCTGATATTAAACATTGACATAAGTGTGAGCTATATACACATTTAATAAAAATTAATAAAAACAACTAAGATAATTCTTTTCAAACCTGTTTATTCCAGTTTAGTGTTGCAGGTGGCCAGATATTCTCCTGGCAGCTCAGGGCACAAATGCACCCTGGACACGACAACTTTCCATCACAGGGCCGCTCACATACACATTCACACTCACTGAGACTGGGACAAGACAGACAGGTCAATTCACCTCATGTGCACATCTTTGGGATGTGGGAGGAACCCAGAGTCCCAGAGAAAACACATGCAGACATGGGAGAATGTGCCAACTCCACCAGGGGCCCCAGCTGGGAATTATTTTCTTTTTTCTCATCCATGTTATATTAAAATGATGTTCAACGAAACATTGTTCAAGGACCTGCTGTAAGTAATTTTAAGTAAAAACAGACATGATAAATCACAATGAAAATGAACACAGGTCCTGCCCAGATTTTGACAATAAAGTACTATTAGAAAGATCATCTGTCACAAAGTAAGACGCAGGTGAGTTCTTTTCCAAATTTAAAGTATAGATGAGGAACTGCAAAAAGGTTAAGACTTTTCCATTATAGGGGTGATGTCAAGATGGTGGCTTTACTCTAGGCAGCATGTTTCTCAGCTTCTGTGAAGAGGAAGGAAACTCGAGGATTGGTGGAGAAACAGAGCAAGTGGACTAGGTTACCGAATCACTTTTGAAAGCAGGACATCAAAAATTATTGCGATCACTGAAAAACCAGACAGTAAGGAGACTGCTTCAGGACAAAAGGGACCCAGGGATCAGGGCGGGGACTAGGGGTGTGCAGTCCCCAGGCCCGGTGCTCCCGGGTCTGCCTCAGGGCTCCCGGGAGAGGGAAGTCGCTGCTCCCTCCCCCAAATACGGGGTTGAGAAACTCCAGGGGAGAACGTGTTGCTTGAAGGAACAGATTGGCCAGTTGGACTGGGAAAAAATCGCCCAGGGACTATGAACACCTCCCCAGAGACCTGGGAGAAGTGAGGGCCTCCAGCCCACACGACCAGGGGCAGTCAGAAAATGCGCCCACATGCCTAGCTGGGTGGAAGTGCCGATTGGTGGACAACACAGAGGTGGGAAAGGCTCCGCTCACGCCCCATCGGGAAGCCTGACTCCCGTGCGCTGTGATCCTGGGAGGGACACGGTGCTTAGTGCGTTCCTAGTAACTCAAAAATTTCCAGCCAGCCAGACCAGGGGCGGCTGAGAAATGAGCCAACACCCCTAGCCCGGTCAAAGTGCGGAACGGTGGAAAACACAGAGCCGGGAAGGGCTCAGCTCGCACCCCATCGGGAAACCTGACTCCCGTGCCCTGTGAACCCGGAAGGGTTGCGGGGTGGCGCTTAGGGCAATCCTAGAGCCCGAATCTCGAAAGTTTGGTGGAGGGGTGTGCCCCTTTATGATTCCCAGGGAGGGCGCAGTCAATCCCAAAACATTGCAGGTGCCTCCTGAGATCATAGAGCTGGAACCCTGCAGGGACCCCGGAGTCCGGAAGAACGTGGCAGTGAGCTCCGGAGAGCGAGTGTTCTCAGGAGCGCCCAGGGTACCTGACAGGGTACCTCAGCCCAGGGCTGAGATCTGGCTGGGAAGAGAGAGAAGCATTTCAAAGGTCCCTCAGCCAGCTGAAACCAGCAAGATCAGAAAAACTGGTCTGGCCAGTTAGAAACCAACAAGAGGTTTTTTTTATTTTGTTTTGTTTTTGTGGCTGTTGTTGATTGATTGATTTTATCTTGTGTTTTATGTGACATTTTATTTTTCAATTCTTATTATTTTTATACCTCTTAATCCCTTATGTTTCTCTTCCATTCATCCTAATATTATTCTTTCCACTCCAAATTTCTCTCTCCTGCACTGCATCTTCTGTTTTTCTTTCCTTTTTTTTTATCTTGCAAGTTACTGTAAATTTGTATTATCTTTTTCTCACTTTTGCGACATTTTTTATTTTAATAGTATTTTGGTATTCTTTGTCTTTCTGTATAATCTTCTTTGCTTGGCTGGTTATACTGTCATTTGATAGGTTCCCCCTGGTATCTCAGTCACAATGTGTTGATAATTTACTATCCTTCATCTGTGTTCCATTAATACACCTCTCAAGGTTCTATACTCTTTATTCTTGTTATCTAGATCTCATCAATTCTGCCACAAGACTGTCACTTCACTATTACTGTTAATAAGACCTAGTCCATACAATTGTAAATACTACTCAATACCCCTACCTGATCTCAGCCCACTTTGCAATTTTCTGAACTATACCATGGTGGGGGTTGTCTCTATTCTTTTACACACTACTCCTATATACTAATCTTTAATCCAACCCTACCTTAGAATCGGACCTCCCACAGCCTCACAGCTTTCTAGATCCAACTAACAATCCTCTCATCCCCAATAAGAGTCTTTCCCTCTTTCCATCCTTTCTAAAACGTGGATAGTGGGGTGGAGGATCATGGTTAACACTATAAGGAGCCAAAGGCTAACGCATCTCTTCTCTACTGGCTGCTAATGTAAATATCATATAATACTGTCTTGCTGTCTTAAATCATTTTGCCTTACTCCTCCAACTGATCACAAAAAAAGAGTAGGGGGAAGCTGTGAACACTAGGAAACACGAAGGAGATTGCACCACTGAATCTCACAAATACTCTACCACAGAAGTTCACACCGTAATTACAGGGAATCAGAACAGATCAATTTAAGAAACAAGAAGAAACAAGAAGAAACCCACGAACAATGAGAAAACAAAGAAACAACCCCCAATTGAAGGGAAACGAGGAAGCCTCAGGAAAAATGCTAAATGAAACACAGGGAACTCAACTATCAGATAGTGAGTTCAAAACAATGATTACCAGGAAGTTCAATGAACTCACAATGAGCTTTCAGAAATTAGAGGGAAACTTCATCAATCTCACTGCAAACTATATAAACATGAAAAAGGAAATAGAAACTCTCAATAAAGGTCAAGAGGAAATGAAGAATGCAATTTCTGAACTGAAGAACATAGTAGAAGGAATGAAAAGCAGTATTCATGAAGCAGAAGACCAGATCAGTGAATTGGAGGATAAAGTAGAAAAAAAAAACGCCAGAAAGAGCAAGAAAAGGAAAAGAGGCTGAGAAAGAATGAAGTGGGATTAAGAGAAATGCAAGACAATATGAAACGTAATAATATCCATATAATAGGGATACCAGAAAAAGAAGAAGAAGAAGAGCAAGGGATAGAAAACCTATTTGAAAAAGTAATGATGGAAAACTTCCGTAATTTGATGAGAGGAAAAGTCCCACAAATCCAGGAAACACAGAGAGTCCCAATCAAGAGGAACCCAAACAGGCCCACCTTAAGACACATCATAATTAAAATGGCAAAATTTCAAGACAAAGAGAGAATCTTAAAGGCAGCAAGGGAGAAGGAGGAAGTAACATACAAGTGAGCCCCAAGAAGGCTAACAGCTGACTTCTCAATGGAAACACTTCAAGCCAGAAGAGGATGGCAAGAAATACTCCAGGTAATGAGAACCAAAGCTCTGCAACCAAGCCTACTATGTCCAGCAAGGCTCTCAATCAAGATAGAAGGCCAAATAAGAAGCTTCTCAGACAAAAGAGGTCTAAAAGAATACACCTCGACCAAACCAGCTCTGCAAGAGATTCTAAAGGGACTGCTTTAAGGAAGGGAAGGAAAAGAGAGAGTGAGAGAGGAACACTCGTACATAAAAGA